AGGAAATAAATTATAACATTAACATTTCAATTGGATTATTCCAACATAGAAAATCCATTGAAACCACAATTAAAATCATTTTAAAATATAGTCCAGTTAGAAGTCAATGATAGAAATTATGAGGCATGGGCTATCATCCTTGGTTGTCTAGAGAAAATTGAAGTGACCCATTTTATGGGAAGGTTCAATGTACATCCAAAGTGGGGAAAATTTCAAAACTAGTCCAACAGGTGGGGTGACAATTTTGGTCTTGACGGAATGCAGAAAATAGGAATAGTCTCACAGCTTTTAAAAAATGATCAAAAGTAGGATTTTTTCGCCGGATTTACTATTTCCGGCCCGGAACGCCACGTGGCTTATTTTTTTACACGCTGGCATCCGACATGTTCATATTTTTTTACAAAGTGTGGGACTAGTTTTGAATTTTCTACATTCCATCGGGACAAAAAATGTCACCCCCTATACTTGTGAGACTAGTTTTGAATTTTTTTCTATTTACGTCGGATGCCAGCGTGTAGAAAAATAAGCCATGTGTGCACCACGTGTGCGCTACGTGGCGTTCCGGGCTGGAAATAGTAAATCCGGAGAAAAAGTCTTACTTTTGATCGTTTTTTAAAAACTGTGGGACTATTTATATTTTTTGCATTCCGTCGGGACCAAAATTGTCGCCCTATACCTGTGGGACTAATTTTGAAATTTTTCCATCCAAAGTGTTACAGAACAACAAAGAGCACTCTGTTGAATTATTACTTATTTTTTTCTCTAACAAGTAACAAACTTCAATTTTAATAGTTATATATGTTGCTATCATATAAATATTCTGCATTACGGTGAACAAATTCCTGCACAATCCTCATTATTGTGTTATTATAATAAGGATAAATCTTGGATCATTCATATAGTTTAGATCCCTTGTCCACTACATGATGCGCAAATCTATCTATATTTTATAATAAAACAAATTAAACAAGTTTGTATAGTATTTGTCTACATGATTCTCATATCTCTCTATCAATATAATCCTATTTATATTTGTCCCATATCTAATTTGGAAAATGTAACTCAATAATAAAAAAAAAAAAAACAAGAACAAAAACAAAAAAAAACAACTAAATGACCAATAAATCTTGGATGATTTGATTATGCGAGATTTGGAATATAATGATATAAAATAAAGAAAAAAGAAAAAAGTGTGGAACCAATATAGAAATATACAAACAGTAATCAAGTAGGTATAAATAATCCCACGCGTATCTTAAACGGCGCCCAAAGCAGGATTAAAGCGCAAGCTTTAATATATAATATCTTGAAGAATCAAGTGGGGACTAATGTCATACTATTCAATATTCCCATGAATTTTCTCTAGATTTTTTTTTGTGTTTAATAGGTCATGTTCCAACAATCTTGTAATATATGATTGGTTGGTTAGAAGCTGATTCTTTCTCTTAGTGCTCAATATATTTTTGAACATGCACGCTTACATATATAGTTATGCTTTAGGGATCAGTTGAATATATATATACTCCCTCCTATTCATAATAAGTGTCGTTTTGGAAAGTTGCACACTAATTAAGAATAATTTTTTTGCCAATAATAACCCTCATTATTGAAGATAGAGATGGATGTTTTAAATAAAAGATGAAGAGAATATGAAAAGACGTAGTGTATTTATTAACTAAATGAGGATAATAATGGAAAAATATGTACAAAAGATCCAAAACGACATTTATTTTGGTTAATAGTTGATAAAGCCAAAATGACATTTAAAAAGAATAGGAGGTAGTATAATCTTGATGCAGCTTAATTAATTTGTGATTGTACAATTGTGAATAACATAACTTTTATACTTTAGTTACAATTCATATTAACCAAATTGTTAGACGAAAAAATTTGGTGATATAACCAATGTGATATGGCTTTTAGGATGATTGTTCAGAATTGTCTCGAAAAATATATTGGATAGAACTTTTATTTGAGTCAACCAAGAACGAGCGAATCTCGAGCGCCTTAGGCGTGATAAAATTGACTAGCATAAAGTAGAGCTTGGTTCTAAGCTTGTGAGTTGTAAATTGAAGCTTGTGCAAGAGATCGACTCATTAATATTAAATAAGCAAATTAGTTTGTTGGAACTTGAACTTAAACTTGGGAAATTTGTAACTAAAAGTCTTTTCGGTACTATAATTAGTTATGCAATAATATCATAATGCTACAAAATATAAATGCCTATTTTTTTTTTTTTTTTTTTTGGGNTCGACTCACGCGTTAACTATACATATATTTTAACGAGCTCATAAATGACTCGCTTGACAATGTAATAGAAATTAATTATAGCTCGAGAATGAGACTCTTTGGACAAAATAACATGTCACGCCAACGCTTAGATAGCCTATATTTGAATAAAATGCAAAACAATAAAAGTTAGGGAAATTTTTACACATACTACATGAAATAAAAGAATTTTTAATTTTACCTTCCTAGAATAAGCAATAAGATATATACCTAATCAAGCTATTTTATTTACGTGATTGTCTAAATATCAGTTACCTTTTGTAACATCCTCCATCCATATCAGTTATCCTTTGGTGGCGTGATTTCCGCCATCACTACCAGGAAAAATAATAATAATAAAAAAAAATAAATCGCGACAACAGGTATATGTTGGGTTTATGTTGATAACTTGGTATATATTCAGAGAAATAAAAACGTGGTGTAATTCACGCAGCTGTCCAGTTGGGTATTTGTTGGGTTTATGTCGGTATATATTCAGAGAAATAAAGCTGTCCAGTTGGGTATTGTTGGGTTTATGTTGGTATATATTCAGAGAAATAAAAACGTGTTTTGTAATTCACGCAGGTTTATGTTGGTAACTTGGTATATATTCAGAGAAGTAAAAACGTGTTGTAATTCACGCAGCTGTCCAATTGGGTATTTGTTGGGTTTATGTTGGTATATATTAAGAGAAATAAAAACGTGTTTTGTAATTCACGCAGCTGTCCAGCTGGGTATATGTTAAGCTTATGTTGGTATATATTCAATATATTTTGTAATTAAAAACATGTCTTCCATCAAAAATTATGTCTTCTTGTTTTTTTTTTTTTAACTTTTATACATAAAAGTATATATATAATTTATAAACATATTATAACAGGTTACTTAATATAAACCGTAGATATACTCAACAAACAACAACAAAAAATCAGTTTATGCTGAATATAAATTGATATTATACATAAAAGTTATATCTCGCGATAAATTTCGTAATCATATACCAAAAATATACTGAATATAATCATGCATATATACACAAAAATAAAAAAATCAGTTTATCACTGGAAGTGGGAATAGGGAAAGGAATTGAAAATTCAATGCAAGTACACCACAATATTTATCACTGCCAATTACAATAAAAGGAAAAGAAAGAAAGAAAGAAAAGAAACGAAAAAAGTTCAGGAAAAATAGACAATTTGACATCTATAATCTGGAGCTCGACCTTATCAATAAATTAATTCGTAACAAAATTCATCCCCACCAGCCATAATAATGATGGCGAGAGAAAAAATTGGCGGAACAATCCAATTAAACAAGAGCAAAGTCCGTTGTTTTATTGTCCGTTTTTCCTTTTTCTTGTCACCTTCGGATCTATGATTTGATATGAACAATCAAACCCAACTTATTCCTCTGAAACTTAACATATAATCAGCATAACAACAACATAATAACAAGGCTCGACAAACTCAGTTTGGGTCGGCTCTGTTTTCGGCGGGAGATGATCGGCGGACGTTCTTGTTTGCGGGGCGGCGGTGCTTGAGCGAGGCGGAGGCTACGCAGCGGCGCGAGGGATGGGCTGGTTTGGGGCGGGGGTTTGGCGGATAGAAAGGAAGATATGGAGATGGGGTTTTGCAGAGAGAGGAGACGTGGGCGGTGGGTTGTTTTTGCTGTGAGAGTTTTAATTTTTTGTCCATTGTTTAGGTTAAGGAGATCATTAATTGAAATTAAGGATTTGATTAGCATTTAATATGCCAAGAAAAAAAGAGAATAACGTTACATCCAATGTTAGGTAAAATTGAAATATTTTTGGCTTGGTTAGGTAATTTTATAAAGAAAAATATAACAGACATATAAGTGTAATAAAAATCATAACTGTTGGTAAGAGGTGCAAATTCCTCTAGAAGTTACCAGGCACATAATGGGCGAAATTACTATACTTATTTAAAACATTACTGTAAACAAGGCGAGTTGAGTCTGAGCGACAAAATTCACATAACAAGTTATTTGTTTGAGTGGGCCTTATATGATGGGCTCTCAAAAATCCAAACCCAAAAAAAACAAAAAAAAAAAAGAAAAAATCAAGGTTAAGCCATTTTCATTTCAACTGGACTACTAATGGATCCCAATTACCAACAGAGCTCCCCTCCATGTGGCCCAAAATATCATCCCTGCCGCCCATGCCCATCAACCCCAAACGCAAACGACGTCGTTATTAACAGGATCAGCCAGGGATATTAATGTAAATTAACAGAAGAAGACAAAGGGCTTTGTAGGCTCTCAATCCAAACCCCTAATCACACGCGCACACACATACAGCAGACTTCTCAAAACTCTGTTTTTCTCCACTGCCTATCTCTTACAGTCTCTCTCCTCAACTCCGCGGCGTAGATCCGAGGAGTTTTGGAAAACATAATCGCAGCTAAGAATCGGGCTTTCAGTCGATCCCACAATCAGTTTGTTCTCCAGATCTTGGGATTTTATCAGGTAGCTTTGTATCTTGAGTTTTTATCAGGTAGCTTTGTCAGGTCTCGATTTTTTTTTCGCGTTTTTTGTTGTGTAAGTGTGGTTCGCGTGTGTATAACATTGGAATTAGGTGAATCGGTGGGTCTGTGGATTGTTTTTATTGGAGATAGAATTCTGTTTGCTCGTTTTCTTTTTGTAGCGGGCTTCAATCGATTTGGTTTTCAGTTTAGAAGATCTATCTGTTTATAGCATAGTTGAGTTGATATCATCTGTCACCTGATTAGATTATCTTTCTCGGTTTATCTTTATTGTGACATAGGCTTTGGTTGGTTGTTTCTCCCAGTTGATATTGATATTTTGTTTGGGATTTTGGCTTGGGGGGGAGTGAATGGACGAGCTTAAAAGCTGATCTTTTGAAGTTGTACTTTGTGTGTGTATGCTAATGGCATGTTATGCTTTCATTGTTTTACTGCTCTAGAAGCTCAAACGTGAGTGTTTTTGTGGTTCTTTTGTGCTTGACTTGCTATTGGTTTTGTCTTGTGATATTAGTCAGTGGCTGCTGTGTGTATTTTTGTCTGTAGAATGGTTAAAGCTCTTACATTTTGTTTGAATATTTTAAATATTGACAGTGACTTTGCATCATTGACTCGTTTGGTATGTTTGTAGCTCCAGTAGTAGTCAAGTATGTTATACTTATACTGGGTTACAATTGTCAGAAGATCTATCTGGTTATGACTGTTGATTTGATATAATCTGTCATCTCTTGAGATTATCTTTCTCAGTTCATCTGCTCTGTGATATAAAGTTTGGTGGTTTGTTTCTCCTCATTGATATTACTATTTTTCAATCTTTAGTGTAATTGCAAGGCGGATAGAATGGATGAGCTTAAAGCTGGTATTTTTAGGTTGTACTTAGTGTGTGTATGCAAAATGCATGTTATGCTTTTAGTACTTCACTGCAATGAAGTTTAAACGTGATGGATTAGGTGTTTGTCCTACTTTAGTAGGAGTGTTCCTGTGGTTCTTTTGTGCTTGGTTTGCTATTATTTTCCCCAGTGATAATAGTCAGTAGCTGCTGTGTTTATGGTTGTGGGCAGTATGGTTAAAGCTTTTACCTTTAACTACAAAATTTGTTTTAATAATTGAAATTTGGACAATGCACTTTGCATTATTTATTTGCTTGTTATATGTGTTACTGTGAGTCTGTGACTGGCCAGGAGCCGTTAAGTATGTTATACTGGGTTAAGATTGTTTTTGCTTTATTATAACTGCAGCAACATCCATGTGTAATAATTTTGTCTATTTCCGTGAATATATGTGACCGTGTTTCACCGGAATTGTCCTCTGTCATAGTTTCTCATGAAAATAATTTGCTTCTTCCGTCACTGTTTTATAGTTTTGCAAACATGGCCGGAACAGCACCCGAAGGTTCTCAGTTTGACGCTCGCCAATTTGATGCGAAAATGAATGAGCTGTAAGTTTTTACTTAGCATTCTTTACCTGTTGACTTTCCAAAAATTTGAAGCAGTACTCAAGAAGTAGTTCATTATTATTGCTTGTTACTCTTAGCCCTCTTTAATAATATAAATCTATGGTCACAGTCTTGGAACCGATGGAGAGGAGTTTTTCACTAGCTATGATGAGGTGTACGATAGTTTTGATGCAATGGGTCTGCAGGAAAATCTTCTGAGGGGCATCTACGCCTATGGTACGTAACCAATCAACGTGAAAACTTTGTACTTTCTGTTTAATTTTGAATTATCAATTCAATTGTTGTCTCCTTCGAATCCACTAATCATATAATAATTACTCATACCTAATATACTTGAAGGTTTCGAAAAACCCTCGGCCATCCAGCAAAGAGGTATTGTCCCATTCTGCAAGGGTCTCGATGTCATTCAGCAAGCTCAGTCTGGAACTGGGAAGACGGCAACTTTCTGCTCGGGTATCCTTCAGCAGCTGGACTACAATGTGGTGGAGTGCCAGGCTCTTGTCCTTGCACCCACTCGCGAGCTTGCCCAGCAAATCGAGAAGGTGATGCGAGCCCTTGGTGATTATCTTGGTGTGAAGGTTCATGCTTGTGTTGGGGGCACCAGCGTACGTGAGGACCAGCGTATCCTCTCCAGTGGGGTCCACGTAGTGGTTGGCACTCCGGGTCGTGTATTTGACATGCTCAGAAGGCAGTCCCTGCGCCCTGATTATATCAAGATGTTTGTTCTAGATGAAGCCGATGAGATGCTATCCAGAGGGTTCAAGGATCAGGTTTTCCCAATCGCTTTTTTTTTTAGTCTGGATTTTTCGTGATTTTGTCTGGTTGTGAATCTTTACTTTAATGGTGTGCTTTCCATTGTTCATGATCTCTGCCTTTGCCTGCTGGCCTTGAAAAGTGATATAGTTTAGTGATAATTGAAAAAAAAAAAAA